TCTTTCAGTCCAGTCTCGTCCTGCTCAGTACCACTGTCGGTACCAGGCCAGTCCAGTCCAGTCCAGTCAGTCCGCTGGGGGTATACCTCAGATGTTGTCTGTTTTTCGTCATTCATCATTTTTGCACTTGTTGGAGTACGTGCGGTGTTGAGTCTGCGTCAGAGTTGCGCTGTCCCTTCCAACTCCATCTCCGCTTCCTCCTTCCTCTACCCCTTCGTCTCCATCCTGTCGAACCGCCATCTCGGCGGGTCCGACACACTGGTTATCGTAGTGGGGCTTGTGGTTAGATAGATATGTAAAGGGGGAGGGCATCCATGCACCTGTGACGTTGAGCGTGGTTTTGAGCAGATGCTTCTTGTGAGCAGTAGACCAAAGCGAGTTCTTGTGAGCAGTAGACCAGAGCGAGTAATGCCAAAGTGTGGAGATGTTGACTCTGGAACTGGAATTTGTTGAAGACCGAAGTTTGACCATAATGTGTATGTCCGTATTCGGTTTGAGAGAGAGAGAGAGAGAGAGAGAGAGAGAGAGAGAGAGAGAGAGAGAGAGAGAGAGAGAGAGAGAGAGAGAGAGAGAGAGAGAGAGTTTGTGAAGCAATCTGTGGGTGCGTGGGGCGACAAGTTCCTGTGGTGGGGAGGGAGGGGGTCTATGTCCCCCCGTCCCCCACACCTCTGCCCCTGCCTGGTGTTGTGCAGAGCATAGATGGAGTAATCTTAGAGGTTTATAACATAGTTGAGAGTTCAGTGATTGATTTTGGGACAACATTTCGTGATTTGTCTTATAGTATTGTGGATAACCGAGTCTGTGACACCTAACCTCATGCCCAGCGCGACTTCCTGATCGGAGTAGAATGTGGGTCTGGAAGCGCGAAAAGGGGTGTGCCAAGGATTTTTGGGGAAGTGGGGGTGGAGTCCCATGTCAGAACTGAGATCTCATGTGGCAGAGTTTTTCGGGGGGACGGGTGCAATTTGACAGAGAGGGCGGACCACCTCAGGTCATAAGGCAGATGTCATGCGCGGGTCATTCAAGACCGTGCGATCCATCTGTTTTGAGGACGGCGGTTCATCGGAAGATCCCTTCAGGGTGGGTGTGATCCCGATGAGTCGGGTCGTCGGGCGTCGCCACGTGGCGCCGGTCGCCGTACGTTCTGGTTGGGCCCTCGTGGTCCCGAGGCTTTCTGGTTGCCGCATTGTCGGCAATTTCCGCAGCGCGTGCTGGGCCAGTAGGGGGCTATGGCTTTCCACGGGATGACCCTGAGTTGATGATACGGGAGAAGAAGACAGAAGGGAGGGAAGTTAGTGGAGATAACGACGAAGCCAGGGGAAATAAAGTAGTGAGTGTGGTCCGCGGTGGGGAAATCAGAGCACTGGGGGTCGCTGGTGGTGGCGCAGTGAAACTCCCTAGGACATAGTCGATTTTCTGTTAGGCAGGAGAATCTCTGTCGAAGGCTCTCTTCTATCCAAGGGGTGAAGTATTCCAGGTCGTACAACGACTCTGAGCTCTCGGAGCATGTCATTATGTCATCGTAGAGCTGCGAGATGCCTAAGGGCGGGTCTGTGCCGATTGCGATCACCGTGTGTGAGCACGTGCAGGCCGCGCAAATCGAGTCGCGCTTACACGTGTTCACACGAGATGATTGCTTCGTTGCTGACGTGGAATGACCACGTCCAATCAATCGGTGACCTCGTTATGTGTGGTTTGGTCGTGAATCGATGCGCGCGGACACGTGTAAGTGCGCAGAGCAAATCGTACTTACGCGCGTCCCTACAAGGCGTTCGCTGGTTTCTGGGCACACAACTACCCGATTATCTAATCATTCCATAATTTCCGAGCATGCAAGATGCAACAACACAACAGCTCGATCAGAAGATGGTAAACGAAGGCAAGGATCAGGCAGAAAGACAAACAAACAGACACGACATCCATTCATTCGTTCACACACCATATCCGAGATGGGAAATCACAAAGACAAGTGTGAGCGAAAAACCAGGTCAAAATTCCGAAAAACAGAAACGGGCAAATCGCCCTGAACCGAAATCAAAAGTTACATACACGAGACGGGAGGGAGAAAAGATAAAAGAAACAGCAACTTCGCGTCCATCAACCTCAGCTCCCTCTTCCTCTCTCTCTCTCTCCTATGCGGACAGTCCATCGTCACGCACCAACCCACGAAGTCGTCACCCCGCTTAGTCCTTCCGCACCCGTCAGGTTCGTCCGCGCCCACAGTCCGTCGTGGCCCGCGTCAACCCCGCACGTTTGGCACGAGCTCGTCGGGTCGCCCGACTCCCACTTCAACTCACCTCTTACTTCACTTGTGAACCGACCCTCACTGATCGCGCTACCCCGAACTTCCAACAGTTGGGTAGTAAGGGAGCTAACTAATCGCGCAGCCGGAATTTATAGCGTGCATGCATGCGCGAAGAACACAGAATTACAAGAACTTAGAAAAAAGATTAGAGAGGGAGCGCCTGCGTTTTGCATGACCGGGCCACGGCGTGGGGGACTTTGCCCCTCTCCACGCATCGATCCGATCGGATAGCCCGCGGGCGGCCTAGACATCACAAGAAGAAAGCGAAGGCGGGAAAGATAAAGCACAAGAAGAAAGATACAGTTACAATGGCGCCCGCCCAAAATTACAGTTACAAACACGATTAAAGGCGCCGACTAATCAGAGTTTCGTTGCAGCCGCACGAAGAAGCGCGTAAGCAAAAAGTGCCGCGTGGGCCAGAGGAAATTCCTAATTCCAAAATTCCAAAATTCCAAAATTCCTATCTAACAAAAAAAGGCGGAAAGCACAAATTCCGAAAGGAAAGTCTAAAATTCCGAGAGCCATCGGGGCTCGACAAGATTCGAAAAAGAATTAAAAAAAGAAAATAAAAAAGAACGAAGCAAATTCCCACGCGATGTCTGCGCCTAAAAGGTCCGAGCTCGAAACAAAAAGGAAGCAACATCAACATTTATTAATCGCGCGTATGACAGCGCGCCACTCACACACCCAAACAACCAATCGATCGTCCCGGGGCTGACCCGGGCCTGAACCAACCATCCGAAAGGACCCGTCACAAGAGGACGAAGAAGCGAGGACACCGATGCAATTTCCCATCCATCCCAATCTCCCGTAATTGGCCCATCCTTCCCAGCTTAGGACCCCTCATTGTCATCACGCAGAAAATCGCGCGGTGCAGAAATCGGTTCGTCACAAGCCGACGTAGTCATAAAGAGACCATGACAGAGACTTGAAACAGACTGCAGAGTTCAATGCAGGAATAGGCACAATGTTTAGACAACATGTACGTTTGGATTGAGCTGTGAAGACTGTGCTTTTAGACTTGGATAGAGAGAGAGATAGAGAGGTAGAGAAGATGTGCGTTTGTGTTTGACACACCTCTTCTAATGCTCTACCACAAGACTGCCACACCAACGCCCCTCATATGATAAACACTCGCCATTGACAGAGGCCATGGCACGACTCTCTTACACCACCTGCAGCCTGACATGTTACTATGCCCCTTAACCATGCAGCCTGACATGCTACTATGCCCCTTAACCATGCAACCATTACCCGACCTCGACGTCGACGGCCTCCCGACTACGCCCAGTTCGCCGGCCACTCGCTCCACAGCACGCAGCAGAACTGCACAAGCAGACCCATTCCTGCCGACTACACAGCGCCCAGCTACACACAAACTTTCCCTAAAAGCCACTTGGTCGCTGCCCAACATGCACCGACTGGCGCCGGTCTGCCGCCCTAACACCCTACACAACTACCGGTCTTAGACCGTGACCCTATTTTCCTCCGGCTCCAACCCCAACACAGCTCCCGAAGCCCCTCTTCAACCCCGATTTGACCTGCACCACACACCTGAAAAGGAACTTCCACTAAACGACAAAACTTTCTGGAGTAAAAACAAAAAAAAAAACAAAAAAACTTTCTGGAGTAAAGCGCAGCCTCCTGGCTGCGAACAGTAGCCACTGAGCTGCGGAGGTCTACATGTGGGATCACAGTTGAGCCCCTCCTGTTCCACTCAGTTTTCACGGATGTCCCGCCGAAGTGCCGGAGTTGCCCCGGTCCCCAGGTCAATGTTCTCTTTCTGTCTTGATTCTTCTCTCTTCTGTCGTGATCCATGATTGCTGCACTGCATGCAGTCACATCGTTCGTTCGTCCGTGTTCGTCCGTGCACGCGTGTCGACGGGGCCAGCAAAACAAACAAACCAACAAACAAACAAACACGAGTTTCGAAATTGGCCACTCTTTATTCGTGTCATCCTTGCGCCGGGGCCATGTTCTCGATTTATGCGGATGTCCCCAAGGACGGCCGCTCTTTTGTCATGATGACTGCGGTCACATCGCTCGTCCCGTCATTCGCCCCCAAGAGGTTCCTAAGCAACGCAGAAGACGGAGAGAGGCAGGCCCGACCGGCGCTATATGTTGTTTCATCATATTCACAAAGCTCGATTCTGGTCTAGGTTTAGGCTTTGGAAAAGGCGTGGTGCCTGTCCCGAACTTGAAGGCGGACGCAGCAGGTCCGGTAGAACGTCCGGTTTGGAACTTAAAGGTTGTCGGCACGCTTGGTGTGGTGGAGTGTGCCATGTTGGGTGGGTGGAAAGGTGATGACGGCGGGGGGTGCCGTCCCGTTCACACAGATCACACACACACACACACACACACACACACAGAGGGATCACTTGTTAGACGCACACACGCAGACGCACACGTAGACGCACAGATGATTTGGTTCCCGCCGTCGATGTCGGTAACTTATGGTCGAACATAACGAATCGTGTTGTATTGTAGATACGGGAAACCTCTCAGGGCATACTTGGATGCGACCGGAATTACAGGTGGACCAGTATGTATCTGATAGCAGTTACGTCCAGCTGAGGTGAAGAAGTCCTGCTGTGAACATTCTTGCAGAGAAGAGACGGAGAGCGGCAGCGCGCGGACGATGTGGCCGGGAGCGACCGGTACGTGAACGAGCGGAACGGAGCCATACCGGTCGCGGGGAAATGCAGTCAGATGACCGGCGTGGGCGAATTCTATCCCGCTCGTGGTAGAGACCGATACGTGAACGAGCTGAACCGGAAGCAGACCGGTCAGTGGGGGGAGATGCAGCCGACCAGTGACCGACAAAGCTGGATTCCGCTCGAGGGAGCGACCGGTACGAGAACGTGAACAAAAGCTGGAATGAAGTCAGAACGGTCGCTGGGAAATGCAGCCGACCAATGAGTGACAAAATTGGATGGGTGCGCTCTATTTATACTTCCAGGGAATCAACTTGGAATTCTTTTTGCGCGGACGGCAGTGGTAATTGATGGGTGGGCAGGTCTGGGGACGAGGCTTGGCTTCGCGAGGTTCGGTTCCCTGTGGTCCCATGCGGTTCCGTCTGATCCCGTTTGGTCCCGTCTGGTCCCGTTTGGTTTCGTTTGGGTGAGCTTCCTCTGCTGCGGCTTGCATGCGAACAGGGAGGGAGGGAGGGAGGGAGGAGGGAGGGAGGGAGTGGAGAGAGGAGGGGAAGGTGGAAGTTGTTGTTGTGGAAGCGCGAGTAATGGTCGCCCTCCATTTACTGTGGCAGCGGGAAGATCTCAGACGCAATCGAGCCCGTCAGTCAGTCTCTTTTTCTTTTCTAGGCCATCAATCATTTTACAGAGGAGGAGATTGATTGGACGCTGCTGGGGAGAGAGAGAGAGAGAGAGAGAGAGAGAGAGAGAGAGAGAGAGAGAGAGAGAGAGAGAGAGAGAGAGAGAGAGAGAGAGAGAGGGAGCAGCACTTGACGGAGGAGAGGAAGGGAGGGAAGGAGGAATGGGAGAGTTGTGAGTAGCGCGGAAGGCAGACGAGCACATGTGTGCGGGCGATATCGGCGGGCGGGGCGTATCGGTGGGGAATCGCTGTCTTCCCCGGGTGTCGGGAGCGCGGGTTCAGCGGGGGCTGGGGGGGGGAACTGGGAGTCGGGACCAGAACCCGGACGAGAAGAAGAGCTGGGACCGCAGGAAGAGCGCGCGCTCTTGACGGCCAAGTTGGGCCGGGGGAAGGAGGAGGGAGGGGCCAGAGGGACGGGAGAAGGAGTTCGTGGTGAAGGAGCAGCTGCAGGAAGCATCTCGCTGTCGCCCTGCCCGGTCAACGTCTTGGCATGCGGCGGGGCCACGTGTCTACTTTCGGGAGCCGTGACGTGGGTCAATAGCACACCGCTTCTTCTGGGGCAGGCCCGGAACGACAGCCGTCGAGGGGGAAACTCTTCTCATCGGCCGCCGCCTCCCTCTTCGAAAGGTCGGTAGGTAGGCACGTAGGCTTTAGGGATTACCAAGACGACAAAAAGATAAAAGAGAAAAGAGAAAAGAGAAAAGAGAAAGAGGATTCACAAAACAAACAATGAGAGAGAGAAGAAGATTTGCCCTTTGGGTTGTGCATACGTCCTCGATGCCGGCGAAGTGACTCGGATGGCCCGGTGGCCGATCCGGATCGCGATCGCGATCGCCTGTGCCTGATCTTTAGCCGTTGGTGACGAAATCTCGACTCCATCGGTTGTACATCATCTCTGGCTAGACGGCAGTCCACTGCCCTTATCCTCTCTCTCTCTCTCTCTCTCTCTCTCTCTCTCTCTCTCTCTCTATCTGTTTTCGTCCCTCTCTCCACAGCCCCTTTTCGGCGGCCTTCTTTCCAGCTCTCTCTCTCTCTCTCTCTGTGTCCGCCATTCATTCTCCACCCGTGTTTCTCTGTACATCCCTCTCTCTCTGTCTCCCCCTCCCTCTCGCAATAATGGTGGGCTGATCTCCTGGCGCCCCTTGCAGGGCACCGTGAAAATTCTTGCTTTATAATTCTGGGGACCATTTATGTTGCCTGAATTAATGCTTCCGCTAGATGTGGTCAGGTTCATTACGACCTCAGGCAGGAAATGCCGTTCATCACCATCGAACTCGGTCCCCGACAATCGAATAGTGAAGACAATCAAATAAGTAATAATTTTAAATAAATTTTCAGTCAAATAATTAATCTGGAGACTTGAATAATCAAGACAATCAAATGGATATCGAAATACAGTAATTAAGGAATCTAAATGATGAATCTGTCATTTATCCTTCTCCTCCTTTGCCGACTGCATCGACTTTTATTTGAGCGCGCAATTAATGAATCATGGGAAGAGCGGGGGCAATCGGATTGAAAAATGCCTGAATCTGGCTGGAGGTGGTTGTGGAGAGGTGCAGAAAATCGAAACGGAACTGCCTTTCTGCATCTCTGCTTAAAACACATCTAGATTCAGGAGCTTAATCCAATGCTCGTTGCTACTGGGACCTCGCCCCGGCTCTAATTTGCAAATGACGTCACATTTTTCTTTGTACTGTGAAAAGTAATTCTATTCTGAATCGTATATAATATATAAGATAAAGTAAATAAAATGCAGAATGATCAAAATGCTAGGGAGGGAGAATTTTAACTTTATCGCAGTTCATTCTGAACTACATACATCATCTGCGGCGGAAATGTCCAGATTCAGAAGAATTGTTATTCTGACCAGGTGCTACTTAGTGCGAAAAGAACCAACAAAGAAAACACACACACACACACACACACATACACAGAGAGAGAGAGAGAGAGAG